ATGCAAATATTAATGAATAACAAAGGCAGTGCTTTCAGTAATAGTGCACAGTACCGTTTGTTCTCTCTATGGAAACTCTATAATGTGCAGCTGTTATGAATGACCAAAACTGAAATTAATTTTTGGGTTAAATAATCCTTAAATGCAATATGCACCACACACCTAGGGGATCTGCTTGATTGATAAACTATTTTCTCTAAGTTACTTAAGTCAGCAATGCATCATTTGTTGCTGACTAAACATGACCATTTTGTGTTGATGTGCACATGTGGCAATGCAAAATAATTTTATTAAAGCCGCATCGATATAGACTCATTTGAGAATCGTACCCAGTTACCAAATCCATATTGCTCGATGGCATCGAGCAGCGACTGCTCTTCCCTGCTAGTCCATCCTCCCTCTGCCTCGGGACCCCAGAGCGAGAAGCGCCCGCCGTCAACTTGCTGATAGCCATGCCATCGTCTGTGGTTGCCGATTTCGGCACCCGCGGAGAAGCACTCCGGACAAAGTTCAATATCTTGGCATTCGGCACAGCGAATCCGCAAATTCGTAACATCTGCCAGGCAGTTCACGCAGTATTTCTTCCCTAGGTCGGCCATATTGCTTACTACCGCTTGTTGTTGGAAGCAGCAGTCGCCTGGGGCAGGGCATGCGCAGTGGAGTATCTCCGGTCACGCCGCTGCGTCTCATTAATATTAATAAGGACAGCGGATGCTTGCGATTGGCTCTCGCTGTAGGTGCCCATGGCAACAAGCACGCACTCCTGTACAGACACAAAATAGTTTAGGCAAGCGTGCTTCATGAGCTAAACGGTGGTTATTTTAGAGAAATTGCATGTCATTATTATTAGGTTAATACAATTTTTTTAAGAACCTTGTGTAAATTCAATTATATAAAATGGAAGAGGGGTCATTAGAATTAAAACATGAAGAAAGCCTTGTTTTAGAAAATAACAGACTGGTGGAAAACACTGAATTGTCTGAGGATCTAACCAAGGCAGCAAGTGCCCGGGTTGGGGAGGAAGAAACTGAAATGACTGAACCTCCTAGTATCTCAGAAGGTGTTGAGGATGATGTGGTCAAGCAGGGTTCACAGCTGGCAGAAGACATGTCTATTGCTGAGACAAGCAAAGCACAGATAGCTGAAACCGAGTTTGGGCAACATATGATAACAG